AGAAAAGATTAAATCCTTTATTTTATTTTTTTTCACTAGGAAACAAATCCTTTGAACCAAAATTTAATATTTTAGAGGCTTGAATTCTCACCACTGTATGAAAGGTTGCAGTGATGTATTGGCAAATTAAAATCCAAACATTTTAAAGTAGTGTAAAATGTGTTATATCTTGTATCAGAGCTGAGAAGTACATTGCAAGAGGCTGGGATAAAATTAAAGTTGGCCCTGATCCTAACAAGATCTACACGAAGCGAAAAGCCAGGGAATGCTCTATCTCCCTTCCAGGATCTTCATCCCATAGTAAAGAAGTTACTGAAATTAAATACCCAACTACTGGCTAGGAAGAAAACTCTTGAAAAGTTGCCTTTGTTTACCAAACCGGAAATGAAAAAGCACATAGAAAATTCTGGTAAAAGGATGGGAAGTGTTGACAACCACTCTGTTCCTACAAGTTTGAAACGTGCAAAGACTTTTCTGCAAGATGACTATTTAAAGGATATTGAAGGAAATGATGATGGAAATTATTTTTACTTTATGTGTAAGTGATATCACAGCTATAAAAAACATGAAGCTCCTCATACCATACAAGTTGCCCTCTGCATTATATCTGCACAAGTAATACATGCCACTTGTACATGTGCTGCAGGAAAAGTTGGTTATTGTAATCACACATTCGCTCTCGTGTTGAAAATATGTAAATACTCACTGTTTGAGAGCAAAACAACTGAAGATCTCAATGATGAATAAGATGAAAATCCTTCTCTGGCATGCACATCAACTTTGCAAACTTGGCATAAAAGAGGCAGAGGTGATTCAATTCACCCCCAGCCAGTGATGGATTTAGTTGTAGCAAAAGCAAGCCTTATGACGAGCAGTCTGGCAAGGCAATCTCTTGTCTACTTTATGAGGCCAGAAAAAAAAAATTGATATTACAGAGGAAGAGAAGTTCAGAAATGAGGTTGCAGCCATAAATCCCGAGATAGGAATTGCCACACTGGCCTTAAGTACACCCAACAGCATGGTGCAAACCAAATTTGGTATTAGTCCTGTTGGCTCTACAAACAGTTATCAATTGTCTTATGCAGAGTCTAACGTTGCTGTGTATGTCAATATAAGTGCAGTTACAAGATGCTTTAAACCAAATTTTGACATAAACAGCTACCCACGATTTCCTTTGAAATGTACTACAACTAGAGTTTATTCAGACACTTTCTAGTGAAGAAAGAATATTTTTATCTTCACTTGAGGTTGATGAGGATATACTAAACAAAATCGAAGCAGAAACAAGAGAGCAGGTGAGTTGAGAGACAGTTCAGGTTCACAGCCTCAAGGTTTCATCTGATTTCCCGAAGGCAGAGAAATCATAACACTTTTGCTAAAGAAATGATGCATCCCAAGGAGTTTTCAAGTAGAGATACTGCACATGGGACAAAGTATGAAAAAACTGCCATTCCTGAATACCAAAAATTCATGAATGGTAGGAAAACTTCAGTTGCAGTACTTAAGTGTGAGCTGGTTATTTCAAAAGATATGCCCATCTTTGCAGCCACTCCCAAGAGCAAAGTTATTGACTTTGGCTGTAGTCTGCCTTTTGGAATTTTAGAAGTTAAATGCTCATCAACAAAATCTGCTGCAACCCCATTGGATGCTTGCACTGATCCAAAATTTTTCTGTGAGCAAGTAGGTGATCAGTGCTATTTAAAAACTAATCACCAGTACTATGCTCAAGTCCAGGGCCAAATGGCAATAACTGGTGCTGCTTGGTGTGACTTTGTTGTTTATACACTAAAAGGAATGTCAATCCAGAGAATCAAATTTGATCTACAATTCTGGCACAATATGCGTGACAAGGTCAATGCTTATTTCCAGCATTTTATTTCTTTTGCTGTCTAAGAGTATAAGTGTAAACAAAATGAGGCTACACTTACAAGGTCATAACTAATGACAAGTAGACTGATCATATTCTCCAAATATGATTTCATTGATAATACTTATGATTTCTATACCTTGATGCAGTATGAAACAAGACTTTTGCCTTCTACTAAGGCACATTACAGTTTTCTGCATTCCTAAGATATAGTTGTTTCATGAATATTACAAAGATGAGCACAGACAGTCCACATCTGATTTACAATGCCAAATAGGCTGAGAGAAAGTCCACCATCCCAGATGTGAAAATTTTAAATTCTATTTATTGCTCTCTCAACATGAATTCTGAGAGATGCAATGTTTTGAGTTTTAACACCATCCTCAGCAGGCATCTGGGAGGAACTGCCCAAAAATGGTGGGATATTGAGGGACACACCAACAGGTAGTAGACCTTGGATGGTGAAGCCTTTGGCTCTGTAATTTCCTTGTCAGAGATGCTGCCTGTGTATAGTTGACTTATAAAGGATATATGCCCAGCAGGACAAATAGCAATTAATCCTTTAAGAGTTGTATGGTTCTTGTAACTGCTAAATAGCTGTCTGTTATGTAGTAAACTGCTCGGCATCTGACACTTTACCTCGGTGCAATCTATAATTGTCCTGGTATTTGGGTATTTCTTTTTTAAGTCTTAAGGTGGTACGATACAAAAAAAAAA